CGCTACCCCCTCCACTGCGTCGATCGCTCCATTTGCTTGGTAGGGAAATCAACAGACTGAGAGAGTGGGGGCTGATGCACAGCGAAGAAACTTCAATGTAGTGGGGAGATCGATGCAGTGGAGGGGGTTCGCGAGCCGCCAGTTAACCGGCTCTGACGTAAAATATAAACGTACGATTTTGGATAGAGAGTAGCGAGTTGTAAGAGATACGCGTGCAAATCTTCAGAGAGAGTTATAGAAAGTATAGAAACGATATGATGCAAATCTAGAGAGAACTCAATATCTTTCATTCTTTTATTCTCCACGGTCATCACCGTATTCGGACTTGATCAATTTTCTTCAATTACTTAAATAATAATTAACTGCTTATCATAAACCACGTGGATTTAATTTTGTTGACTTTTCCCCACATATTTAGCAGACTAAAGCTAAAGAAAGCTCTTTAGTTGAGAGTGTAGAATTACTGATGTAGTGAACTAATTCAGCGAGAGGAAGAAGAATTCTGATCAAAAACAGTGCACGACAAATAAATATCTCGAACGTCAAAGGGGCAATACGATAAGCAGTGATGGATAAATGCACGGAAAATTGAAACACACAGACGAACGTAATTTCCAATCTCGCGTGTCGTTACAGAGAACCAATGGAGAACAAATTGAACAAGCTGTTGTCGTGTCACTTGTTTAAGCATTCGCTGGTTATCGGAAACGATATCTCTCGAGGGCGTTCGCATACTCTGCAGTCTAAGTCCCTTTGCACTCTTTATTACTCGTCACGAGAGTCGTCTGATCTTTGCGAAGATCCTCCGCGACGCTTGATCGGAGATACTCGTCTTCATCTTCTTCAACCATCTCTCTCCTATTTGTGTCTCGGATCATTCGAAACAAAATGAAACACGCGATTGTGCCTTCTATTGCAAGATAATTGCAATTCGTTTGGTTCTCGTTCGCGCCAGAGACAGTTCAGCGTTTCAGTATAAATGTCATTCGGAGAATTCGTGGAAATTAATCTCGGAAGATCAAGGCTTTTGACACGCGAGACGCCGAGACATTCTTCGCGGAGAACGAAGCGTGTCGCGCTTTTCGCCTTTCTCCGCTGAGAACGTGAAATTTATTAAATTT